CCTAAACAGATCTTGTATGGAGAAGATAATCCAATAAAGGAAGTAAATGTAATGGAATATTGGTTTCATATAAGTTGAAAAATGCTGGAAAAATCTGAAAATCAACCTTTTTATTTTATAAATAAATAATTTTTATAAGTGGCTGGGTTCTGACACTGTAATCCCATGCATTCCATGCATGCTTTTGGGTCTAATAACAATGAAAGCAGGAAGTTTGTGGAAGTCAAAATTGCCAACTAACAACAGTTGTTGCTCAAATTGTTTCTCCATTCCAACTCTGACAAATTGTTTTCTTCTTTCCTTGCAGTTTTCCACTTGTCCCACAAAGTCACTCGGGTGGTTCCAGAGAGTGCTCTGTTGATTGTTCTTGGTCTTGTCCTTGGTGGCATTGTATGGGCAGCAGATCACATTGCCTCCTTCGCCCTTACACCAACTGTATTTTTCTTCTATCTGCTGCCCCCCATTGTTTTGGACGCTGGATATTTTATGCCAAACAGATTGTTCTTTGGAAATCTTGGTTCCATCCTTTTGTATGCTGTCATCGGGACAGTCTGGAATGCGGCCACAACCGGTTTATCTCTCTATGGTGTCTATCTGACAGGAATAATGGGTAAGTTTGATCTGTGAAGGCACAATTGCGAATGCTACTGTATGCCAGCTGTTAGATGGGTGATATTTTACAACCTAACAACTCTTTTCAGCAGAAAAATCCAATTTTAATGGGAACAATTTGTCATATTTTTAACAAACTTAAGAATGATCTGAGAAATCTTCTCTGAAGCAAGCACAAAAGGGATTTGAACCTGTGCCTCTCATATTTTCCTTCCCTAAATGTGTGCGTACACTCTCAGGATACAGCTCAGCATTCATCCTGCTAATAGACATCTGGACAAAAATACACTCTGAAGGGCTTGTTTCTTTCTGCTGTGATAGAAACATTCAAAGTGACTGTGAAATGGAACTGTCTTCCTTCAGTCAACTTTAATATTAAGTAAGCAATGGTTGCTGAGTGTGTATGCATGCATGAATGACACATGTCTTATTTTGTCTTCTGAGGCTGGAAATTGTAACTGAAGACTTACAGAGCCAAGTAGCACGTCAGACGCTCCCTGTCTTAATTAAACTACAATATAAGGGTATGGGGCTGTTAGAAGAGGCACAGAACAGCAATTTTTAATCTCCTGAGCCGGTGTGGCATGCACATAAGCTATGTACTGCCACCTGAAGAACAATAATTCACATTGTATGTGGATTGCATGTGTTTTGAAACAGGCATCGTATCTATGCTTTTTTAGTGTCTGTACTGAAGAAGCTCAAGAGCCCTTCTAGGACAAAATTCTCTTAGGTTCATGAGTTCTAGAAAGTACAAGGTACATCTTTGGGAGACCTTATCGCTCTCTACAACTACCTGAAAGGATGTTGTAGTGAGGTGGGTGTTGGGCTCTTCTCCCACGTAGTTAGCGATAGGACGAGAGGGAATGGGCTCAAGCTGTGCCAGGGGAGGTTTAGATTGGATATTAGGAAAAATTTCTTCATGGAAAGGGTAGTCAAGCATTGGAACAGGCTGCCCAGAGAGGTGGTGGAGTCACCATCCCTGGAAATGTTCAAAAAATGGGTAGATGTGGCACTTTGTGACATGGTTTAGTGGGCATGGTGGTGTTGGGTTGATGGTTGGAATGAGGATCTTAGAGGCCCTTTCCAATCTCAATGATTCCTAGTTTTTACTTTCATTATAAATAATCCAGCCACCAAGCCAGGAAATATGAAATTGCTACTCTACGCTTAATTGGTTTAGTGGTGGACTTGGTAATGTTAGGTTAATGGTTGGACTGGATGATCTTAAAGGTCTTTTCCAACCTAAACAATTCTATGATTCTATGATTCTATGATCGGAGTGCTGCTGAGAGCAGTACAGATATAGTGTGCTACTGTGCCTGTGCACTCTGCCCATCCATTCTTGGCAATCAGTGAGTGAGTGGCTCCAAGACCACCAAGGGATATGTTGCGTTGTATGAAAGGCTCAACAGCTAGTCATGGGGCTGTTCTCTAACCACAGTGGTGCAAAAACAACTCAGAACAATTTACCACAGACTTCCTTTTCAGTCCAGATAAAAAGAGTGCCTCAAATGTCAGAAGGTGCAGATGTTGCAGAGAACATTTTTGTGATGAAGAATTAAACTATTAGCTGATTATTACAGATGATAACATAGTACGAGTTTTCCAGCCTCAGAAACTGATCCCATTGTCCAGCACAGGGAAGTAGCAGAATTTGGGGCTGGGTTCTCTGAAATGGAGCATAAGATTGGGATATCTGTTCCATCCATTTTAAGGGAAACCTGTGTTGTCCTTATTTGAAAATCCCAGTCTGGAAGAAGTAGACCACAGACTTATTCATATAAGACTCATGTAACTGCAGATGTTTGTAATATAGACATCTATGATAGACTTAGCTTACATTTTAGATATTTGCCTTACCATAACTCACATTTTATAAGTAACAATTTTTCTTTAGAAGATACAAAAGTCACAGCTCAGATGCAGACACTATTGACTTTCATAGGCAGGTAAGATGTTTTATGTGCTTTCAGCCTCTAGGCACAATACATTGCATCCACAATTTCACATTTATGGTTAAATACAGGTTTTCATGAACAAAAAAGATGACAAAGGGATATTGCTATTGCTACAGATTGGACAAGGATTTCTCTCTTTAAATATCCAAGCTGCTTGGAACAATTTAAAAAGTATGACCAAAAATATTTTATTAACACCTTGTTCTGGGAAATACAATGAATGATAAATGATTTAAAAATATATTGATAAAAATCATTAAAGGAAAAGCATTGATGTCTTTATGACATATGAAAGGGAAGTCAAGTGTTTTCCCCAAAATGTTATTTTAAGTGAAAAATCCATTTATCTCTTGCTCTCCTCCCAATACATAAACAATTATTGACTAACTGTAAAAGCTGGATTTGATGGCTACATGTTCTGTTTCATCATTATGCAATTCTTTTAGTGACAGTATATGCTAGAACTCTGAGCTTACAGTTAAACAGGAGAATTAGCCCCTACCACAGGTCACAGCTAAAGCTCTACAAGCTAAAAATAAGGATGTTAACAAAAGCAAACAATAAACTGATATGCCTGGCAAATTTAAATGTTTGGAATGAGCGTTAATTGGTATATTGTGGGGACCTGTCTTTACCACCAAGACATATTATAACCTACTAGAGTTCTAATTTCAGCTATGGAAAAGGCCAGAGAAGCCTGTCCCTGATTCAAACTATGTCATTCTCCAGCAAAGCTAAGTAGGACTTTAAAATAGCTACATGACACATACTTACTAATCCACTAAATACATTGTGTTGACCTCCAAGATGTCAGCAACATCTGAGCACCACAGTTTGTGAAAAGCCTTGCTGTTGTTACTTACTTGCTGAAGATAGGAGAATGCTGAATTACTCAATTTCTAGAAGAGTTCATAGCAGCCTCTGGTTGAAATTCTAGGGCATATTTTTGTTTCTACCCCACTTTTTCTACAATTGGAGTGAATAATGCTAAAAGTAATATCATTAAAATGTAGGAACGTATATCCACTACAGACTAAGATGAACTAAAACCAAATTACTTCCAATTTCACCATGGAATGGAATGGGTCTGTAGTACTGTTCATCAATATGAGAGTGCATAATCCCAAGTGGATTACATTGATTTCCTACATACACTTCTTTAGAAGTGAAAATAAAAGATCAGCCCTTAACTGTTAACTAGCAGCCATGCCAGTCTGCTTTCACAGCATATGAAGAAGTATCTAATCCTAAATCTTCCTGGCTGATTGCACCTAACTGTTCACCATCTGCTGGAGAACTGACATATGCAGCACTTCTCTGTGGAATAATTGTGGTTGTGACTAATGCTTAGCAAAGTTTTTCCTGTACAATCTAGGTCACAGCAACAACATGCTGAGTATGTGTAGAAGTCTTAAACTGGGCCCAGCAAACTTACCTTGCTCAGGTGTCACTGCTGGCAGCTAGTCATTCCAGAGCTGGAGGAAGCAATGGTCATGCATCACTTGGAAATAAATTGCATTATTAGTCTAAATGAAAGTCTGATTTAGAAACCCCATGCCTCTTGACACTGCTTTGTAGGAATTATAGATGTGTCCTAACCTTTCCATAAATATTTGCTCGCTAGCTTTGCAAGTCTTCAAAGAATGTACCAATGATTATAATTGGTAACATATAAAAAAGATAAGCAATCTCAGTGAACCAATTTATTTTAACAGCTTACATTCTGTGGTACCCTGATATCTGATAGTTATTGTCATTGGGCTTGTTCCTTCCTTAAGCATGGTAGAGAAGGACAACACTTGATGGAATCATTACTTAGATTCAGGTTCAAGGCTGTTCTCAGAATTTTTGGCACAGACTTCAGCTCACTGCTTCAACCACTCTCTCACACTAAAATGGATAGATTCAGCCCTCATTCACAGTCCGGTATGTCCAAGAGTGAAAAAGACTATTTCTCTTTTTGAAAATATAGTTATATGTCGGTGGAAAACTATGAATTTCTGTTTTCAGGGCCTTACCAGGTCCCTGTAAACTATATGGAAAACATTGTAGATGCTCTGATTGGCAGACAGCAGCTAAGAGAATATGTACTTCTGCAGCTCCCCAGATTATTTGCCATTGTCTTGTACAACAGGGTGTTGTCTACTCCTGTCTCTAGCTGCCCATGGAAGTGTCCTTCTCTTGAGTAAATATGCCCATGCCATTTTGTATCAAAAGTACTTGGAATCTAGTTTCTGTTTCAATTACCTTCCAAGCACTAAACATTCTGGATTTAAAAATTATCTTGTAAGAGTTCTTGCTAGAGGAGTGGCCGTATTGTCCCGAAAGTACCTTACAGGAAATATTGATCCTTTGGCTACGGCTTACTGGCTGTCATTGTCTGACTCATGCTTCCAAATCATTTAATCAGATTTCTCCCTCAGCCGTAGAAATCATGCCTGATACAACTGTCTATTAATTTTGGGCATGGGCCTCTGCATTGTGTTCTAATGAATGAACTCTCAAAGTATACCTTCTTTGTTCTTCCTCATATACATTTGGGCTTCATCACCTCTTAATGAACCTTGCTTCCTCCTCCATCCATTAATGAACACAAAGGGAATTTTCCTGTTCCCTACCCTTTCAAAAATCTGTTCCCCAGAAAAAATGACCGGGATACCACTCTTGATTGCATGAAATGGGTAAATTTTGGAAGATATTTAAGAAGCTGCGCAAAGCAATCTTTGTGGCTCTCCCTTTTCTGTTACTTTTAAAGCGATAGCGATGCTTGTCTCAGTCTATTTGCATAACTGAACAAAATAACATTAATAACTAAAAGAAGATTAAAAAAACGAAATACTGGGTTACTTTGTCACTAGAGTTTTTTAGTTCCACAACTTTTGAAATCATTGCCAAAATTCCTAAGGGGCTACAACACAAACATGTTGAGCTACATCTTAGTCCTTCATCTATATTTATGGTCCACTTGCGGACAATTTAACAGTGGCCTCATGAATCATAATTTGGGAACAAGTAGCTTCACTGCACCTATCAATGAGTGTCTACCTGCATAAGGAGTCTACAAGTGGTATTTAACTGCACTGACTGCAGTTAAGCCCCACTGTAGCAGTTCTTAGCAACCAAGAGTCAAATTTGGCCTATGGCATGAAGTATTTTGGAATATTTACTTCAAGAGTACTGGTATATTCCTCTTACCATCTTGTCAGTTCTCAATCCTGTGATAATTTACTCAAGTTAGATAAACCATACCACACACAAATACAAAGCCAGTTTAGCTCTGGAAATACTTATCTCAAGTGCCTTGCCATAAGAACAAGACTGTACTGCTCCCAGAATGAACTTTGATCTCCATGGGCCAATGCTGGATCCAACAAACCTTGTAGGACACAAGATGACACAATGCAGAACTTGTGAAGTAGTTTCTGTGCCATGCTTTCCAGTTGATGCTTTAGGATCCCTATTGTCAAGGATTTTGCATTATCTGTAATAGCATAGTCTGTCATTACTACAGATAATACAGAGCTGACTCTGCTTTATACTTTGTTTGCTTTGTTTTTGAAGGCCAGCTGAAGATTGGACTGCTAGACTTCCTCCTGTTTGGCAGCTTAATTGCCGCTGTGGATCCTGTAGCTGTTCTAGCAGTGTTTGAAGAAGTCCATGTCAATGAAGTTCTATTCATCATTGTTTTTGGAGAATCACTTCTGAACGATGCTGTAACTGTGGTAAGTAAATCATATATCCAAGTTACCCAAACTCTAGAGGGTTTCCTCTGAAGTGTATTTTCCCCTTAAATAAAATAATATATCATCTGTGTGTATCTACTCATGGGCTAGTGTAGTGTAGCTCATGGTGTTCTCTGTCTTGCTTACAAACACTGTATTGCAAAGATTAAATGTTTGAGCGTGAAAGCTATTTGGAGCCCGTAAGTCACATAAAAATATACAGTCCTGGATTGGATGAGCATAAAGACATTTACAATGAAGTTTCACGTATGTATGTTTTATTTCCCTTTGCTGTTCAAGTAGGGCTTTCATGACTTACTGAAATTAGTTCCAGGGATTTTTAGCCTTTCTTTGCTCTTGTTTTTTAATGCACATACTCTTTTCTGCATATTTCCATTATGCCCATAATTTATATGCATACCTCAGATATATAGACACTCAGAGAGAGAATAGTCACCAAAGCGCTTATGCCTGTTCCCTCTCTTTTACTTCAATCAGATGTTTACCAAACCGATATATAACAAAGAGCCAATTTGGGAAAAATTGTGGGACATTTTAGAAAATTTCTGGTTTGGGTTGGGGTTTTTTGGTAACATGATAAATTCTGGAGTTTTTTTCATTTAGAAAGAAAAGGAAAACTTAATAGACTTCAATAGACTTAAAATAATCCCAAATTTCTAATGATGATTTTATTTTGATTGAAACACCTTTTCTTTTCACACAAAATTTTTCGCAGAAAAAAATAGTCAATAGTTCTGTAGCACAGTGCTAGTGGGCAGAGACCAGGAAGTCCTATGGCAGAAAGATGCTATACAACTGAGTTGCTATAGGGCTTCAATTCGCTTCT